CCTGGCTGGCTGGGGAATTCTGGGAGTTGAAGTCCACACATCTTAAAGTTGACAAGGTTGAGAAACACTGCCTTAGAGGATATTCTCTATTTACAAAAACCTCTAGTATTACATTTCAGGTCAGCACTCTGGTCATTATCAAGTCAGAAGGCTGTGGAAATTGATGGAATATCTACAGAAATATAGCAAGAAGAAGAATCTGTAAAAATTCTAATCAAACTGTGCCAGCAAATCTAGAGAACAACAAGTGGCCAGTAGATTGGAAGAGGTCAATCTACATACCAATCCGAAAGAAAGGAGGCTTAACAGAATGCGCAAACTATCATACAATATCCTTAATTTAACATGCTGGCAAAATAATGCTTAGATCTAATCTAACCACAGATTAGAGTCCCTCATGGAAAGGGAAATGACAGATGTTCAAGTTGGTTGTAGAAAAGGCCAAGGAACAAGAAACAATTGCTGCTGCATGTTGGATAGTTGAGAAAGAATACCAAAAATGAGTCAAACTATGGAATGTGCTTAGGAAGATGAGAATCCCAGAACATCTGATTGTCCTCATATGAAACCTATACACAGGTCAGGAAGCCACAATATGGATGAAACATGGCTAAACAGACTGGCCCTGGGTTGGCAAAGGTGTGAAAGAAGGCTGTATATGCTCCCCTTTTTTATTCTACCTGTATGTGAAATATATATTGAAAGAAGCTGGATTAGAAGAAGATGAGCATGGTTTTAAAAGTGGAAGAAGAAACATGAATAAGTGGTATACTGGTGACATTAATCTGATAGCTAAAATCCAAATGATTTGCAAGTTCTAGTAATGAAATCAAGGAGCACAGTAAAGAAAAAATGGGACTAACACCAAACTAATAATATATAGAGCAACTAGCTTTAGAACTGATCATGAAGATATTGAAGTGTGGATAGCTTATGTCTTTTTGGATTAATTACCAACAATAAAGGAGCCAGCAATCAAGAAATACTCCACAGACTAGCACTTTATAGAGTAGCAATGAAAGCCTTGGAATAGATTTTCAGATGCTGAAATGCATCTATGCTTTTCTGTGCTACTTATTTATTTAAATTGGTTAGCCACCCACCTCCAACAAGACAGCAAGTTGGATGCCTGCCCCAGTCCAGTGATGGCCAAAACTCAGGCAGAACAGGTTGAAAGTTGTACTGTGTTACCATTGTCTTTCTAAGATGCACCTTTTGCTTCCTGCTGGAGCTGATCTTCAGTAAGATAGGCGGCTATATAAATTTGATCAACAAACACAGTTTTAGAGGAAAACAATCCTTTTTACCAGTATCTTAAGATGGCAGCTGCAAATGTAGTTATAGGCTTGGTACAAATCAAAACCAGGAATCCAATAAACAAGTGATGAATCCAAGGAAAAAGACAAGAGACAGTGAACTGGGATCCAGAGTTCTAAGGACAGCACAGTAAAGATGACAGCACTGAGACTTGAAAAGTTGTTCTCAATTTTTTCTCTCAGGGACTGAGGCCACTAAATACACCAAGCTGAGCCCCCACTGATATGCACAGCTGAGGCACATTGCTCATTAGAGTCTACTCTCCTGCTGGCCTGCTTTTTGGCCAGTTTGTCTGACCTGCAAAGTTTAGCTCTCTGCTGTTGAATCTTCAAAGCAGGACTCCTCCTAGTTGTCCTCCTCTTTCCTTCCACCTTTTCCCACATTAGAGCCTTCTCCAGAGAGCTAGAAGTCATAAGTATCTCCTGCCCAACTCTGCAATAGGTAGTACTCCACAATCTGACTCTACATATCCTTTTTCAATTGATTATGTAGTAATTTTCTACTTAATCCCAATTATTTCTTTGGTGTTGCAATGGTTTCTGGGCAGTGTTTAAGGACTGTTCAAGGGCATGTTAAGCCTAGTATACATATGGGTTGTACAAAACATGCCAAACCATAAACCATGGTTAAGAAACTTCTATGGCAAGCCATGCCAAATAAATTTCATTTTGTTGTAGTGTACTGTGAGATGAAGTTAATCATGTTAAGCCAGAATGTGGTTTGGGTTTTTTTGGCAAAAGTGGGTGAACATAGCCATTGTAGCTTATAAATCATGAATTATGTCTTAGTGTAGTATGCAAAGGAGCCATGTAGATTTTATTGCAGACTGAAGATAGGATTGTCATTTTTATACTCCTGATGTAAAACTATATCAAAATAAGTGGTCTGTTGTACCATAACTCCCTTGCCTGCCCTGCAGATTTTCTATTATACACAGTTTTAAACTCTGATTTCTCAGTCTGAAGTATTTTAATATCTTATTTACAGAACAAGAGTTTTGAAAAAGAAAATATATTTATTTCATTGATTTTCAGAAATAGAGTTATAATAGGCATAATCTCTATAACTTTTCCATCTCATGAAAAGGACCGAGAGTCATCAGTTTTATAAGTCCTTGTATTAAAAATAATTTAAAAAATAATTTGCGCTGGCATTTGTTTAATTGCTCAAGGGTATACTTAACTAGTATTAAATAAAATATAAAAAAAGATATAAAAAAGATATAAAAAAATAAAACATAGATATAAAAAAAAGGAGTCGAAAATGACTTGATGGCACACGATCAATACTTAACTAGGAGCTGAAGCCTTAGAATTCTTATAGAAGCATATGTACCTTTATTCTTGGAGGTGCTTTGAGATAGTTCCTAGCACTACCAATGCATTGTATGATTTAATAATTTTCTCTTCAATAATGTTTTATCTGTTTACCTAGAAAGGAAATAGATTTACAAATCTTAATTTTCTAGATCTGAAAATTAATCTCAACTGAGGTTGAGTTAGCTATCTTCCAATCTAGGTACATAACTTAATGATTATCAAGCAAAGATTTTAGCCAAAAGATTGCTTTGCTGGAAAGATGCTGCTACTTCAGATTTAAAATCCTAGAGTGAAAACATTTGTTCACTCCCTACCTTTGAATTGGTGGTTTATTGATGTAATGGCAGGGTCTGGAGGGAAAATGGAACATTCCAGAGTTCTCTGGAAGATTCTGTTCCCAAATTTTATAAGGTGCAAATATGTTTTGTCCCTGGATAAACTTATATACTGTAATTGCTATACTCTTTTTATATAGAGATGTTAGAATTTAAGGCTGTGTTTATAAATGTATGTACACATTTTTGCTGAACTTGTGGTAGTCAGGATATCTCTACAGTATTAGTAAATCTTTAATCAGACTACATTAATTAGATATGTCTGCACAAATGACCTACTACACTGTCGTCATAACCACTGTGGAACATCGGAAATAACATATTTCTTTGACATCCGGGTGATAATATCTCTCCCTCTCCCTCTCTAATAGAGATTAGATGGTTTATCCCAGTAGTTTGCTTCATTGAGACTTTGTTCCTATTTCAAGCTTTGCAAGAGGGCTTGTTCTGCTTCCATCTTCCCCTCCCCCTGTTCTGTGAGCATTTGTGTGTTTGTGTGTGTGTGTGGGGGGGATTCCTTAGAATAGTACAGCCCAGAATAGAGGTGGAAGGGAGAGGATTGTTCTTCACCTGCTTATTAAACAAGGTTCACCATTACCCGGAAGTTCTTTCTTGTAAGAAGGTGGGGGTCTTTTCTCCCTTGAATGCAGTGAGCATCCTCCAGCTCCTCTTTGCCGCGTCCATGGGGTTTGTTTGAGAGGAGTCCACAGAGATGGAGAGATGCATCCCCCTTGGCGTTGACCCAAACCTTATACAATTGGGTAAGAAGGGGAGGTGTAAATATTTCCCCCCCTGAAAGGGGGTGGGTAGTAATAAGAGAGCGGAAGAAGAAGAGGAGGAGGGGTGCCTGGGCGGCTTTTGTGCATGTGATTACAGTATGTCTGGATGGATTGCCATGCTGAACGCTGCTTAGAATGCTGGTTGCTGGAGTAGAAAATGGATTCAGCCAGGGATTTGTATTATAATCTTAAGTATCAGTACTTTGGACATTAATTTCCATAAGATCAATTGGACTTAGCTCTTAGGAAGTATGTGTAGATTTCAGATATTAACAAGATTTGGGGCGGGGGGGTTAGTTGGGGAATTGGGATGGACAAAAAGCTCTAGGATTTCAACTATGAGTGGTATTTGGTGTTGGGAAGACAGGTGTGTGTGGGTCAGGGTGGATGGAATTTCTTTGTAGGGTGAATCATGTGTTCAGAGATGATGAGATAGGGAGACAGAAAAAGCTACTGTTTTATTTACTGTACTGTGCATGAAGGAAATGTATTTGTGTGTAAAGCTGTGTAGAGATTTGAATAGACAAGACAGAAGAGAAGAAAACTTCCCTTTTCTTTAAATTATTTGTACCTTTGCTCTACATTTTCCATATTTACCACCTTTTGTTTTTCTTTCTACCTTTGTTTATGATTTCTGATATTGATTGCACATATCCTGCCCTGATGTGTTTTTAACCCCATGCTGCAAACTGTGTGTGGCTGTGTATTTCCTCCACCCCTAGGAATTTTGCAGACTAGATTCATCAGTGGGGTTCTTTTCCCACAGAGAGAAAGATATGTATTTAAAGGATATTTACTTTAAAGTAACTATGCCTGAAGTACTAAAATAGTTACTAGGAAATAAGCTCTACTGAACCCAGTGAGGCTTATCATTAAGTAAACATGAGTAAGAGTATGCTTTTTAGTTCATTCAGTTTTTAATTTTTAATTTTAGCAAATAGAGGATATGTTCACTTCCATCTGGGGATCTTTCTGTGGCTGATCTCCAAAATGAAGTACGTAGTTAATTTGACTTTGTAGCATTTTAAAATTTTATTTAGAACTATTCCATGTAATTGTTTATCGTATCTGTAATTTGTATTGTGACCCTGATATTTTGATAAAAATTTGGGCTGCGGGCAAATATAGTGGATAATTTAAGATAAAAAGGTTCAATCAGACTGATACACATTTCTTAGTTTTGGAGTATGCCTTGAGATTGCACAAAGGGAATTTAAATATATCCTGCATATATCACATTCCAGAATGTTTCTGTTGCTGCTAATGAAATAATTTGTGAGCTCAGCTGTAGATGTTGGTATCTGGGTCAGTTGCCCTATGGTAGAGAAATCTGGCTACTTGTATTTTTGCTTTAGAAAGGTACAACGCACAGATCAGGCATTCAGAAAACTCTGGTACCTTTAGCAGTATGGAAGAATGTCTGGCAGAGTTTGAATTCACCAGTAGGGGTGGCTGTGGTGTCCCTTAGAAAAGGAATGAAAACAATTGTTTCTTAATAGCAGAACTTAAACATGATGGGTAAAATGTGATGCAGTGTCATAGTTGATGTTAGTATCATTATGTGAAGTTCTAGTGGTATTCTATGTTTCAAAATAATATGATTGATTTATGCCAGCCATGCAGAGGAAATTTATCCCCTCCAGCCATTAACAGCTTCTCTGTTACTTTGTAAATAGGAAGGCATGTATAATGCAGGACTGCATAGAACAGAAACTGGAAGCAGAATCATTATGATTATTTTTAGGCTGCTGTTGAAATACATGAGTTAAATAAAACTCATCAAGAGTTCCAGTATCTTTTTAAAGTCAGCTGTTGTGTGTGTGTGTGCCTCCATTGGCAACAGAGCAGAAAATTTTGACTTGTAGCTGAACCCAAATGCTGCTGTTGGCCAAAGGCCAAGATTCCTTAAGGAGACAAGGTCCTTTACTGAATAATATTAAACAGCAGAGCTGTGCATCTTTTGGTATTAATCATCATATCTAACTGTGTTATGTAATTCTAAGAATTAGTAGCAAATGAGAATGTCCACAAAAACCTGAGTTCTGTAGTTAACAGAGGTCTATATAATATGGTTTATCACCTGTATTGGGCTGTAGCTTTAATTATTTCTAAAACTTATGTGCAGTGTATTGTTGCATGAATCCAGTATTTCTGTATTTAAATTTATACCCCATCTAAATAATACTCCAACTCTGTGGCATAGTGAACTATCAACTAATCAACCATTTAGTCTAGCATGCTGTGTGAATGCAGCCTGTGTAGTTAGTTGATGCTTGAATATGTTATATGAATCCAGAACATTAATTTAGTAAACCATGGATCATTTAACCATGGATAAGTATCCCATGTGAAAACAAACTATACCTTTTTCAAAATGAGAATTGGACACCTCTCAGGAATTGTAGTCAATTCCTGGTTATATCAAGGAGTATAGAACAGGAATTAAAATTCATTCCTGATTTTCATTTTCAGATAATCAAAATTATTTCAGTTTTACTTACTGCCTTTTTCTGTTCTATAGATGCTTCCCTACCTATCTTGCATCTACCCTTTTCTTTTGATGTAAATAACTTTGGGCCCTAAGTAAGTATGAGCAGATTTTTAATATGGCTATTAAATAAAGAAGGTGGAATGAGGCGTTTGTTTCTTTCAGGTGGCTTTTGGGTTATATGAGTTCTCTACTATTTAAATATGTTTAAATATGTAAGTGAAGTCAACATTACAATGCCTAACAACCCATCTGCCCTACACTTACATAGTCCCACCCCACCCATTTTGTTGATAAATTTTTAACCAATCTTATGCACAGGTAGGCATAAAAAAAGGATAGCATTCTGCCAAGCGATCTATGAGGGTAAGATATGCTCTGATATTTCTGAAGTGTAATTTTGTTAAGGACTTTATATTAAGGCAGATGGTAAAAGTCACCATTTCTGCCTGAGCTCTTGCACTGTCCATGTTTCTCAATCCTCTCTTTAAGAATGAACATTTGGAAACTTTGGGCTTTCTTGTTTTGTAGAGAAAGTGTACTGATTAAAATATTTGATGTTTTATAAAATAAAGTGATCTCAGAAATAAATGAGAAATTTAAAATATCTCCATCAGTTTGATACCATATTTATTCTGTCCGAAAATAATATTTGGCATTTATATGACATTTCCTGAACACACAAATGTATGTGTTTATCACAGTAATAAATATCACAGTAAGTAATATACATTAATCTAATATTAAAGATGAAGAAGGACTGAAGTTGAGAGAACGTGGCTTATAAATAGCCAAGTAGCAAATTAGTGGCACAGCCTGGATTTGAACTAGAAATTTCTTGATTTAAAACAAGCAGCTTTAGTTCACTACAGCAACTTATTTCATGTTGAACTTTTTATTTAAAATGTAGAAGTGGCTTAAGGTCCAGTTACTTTTTGACTTAGCCAGAAATAGAGCTGTTAACTAAAAGTATTCATGGTTTATGGTTATTCATGGAATGTTATCTAAAGGTTTTGAGCCAGGTATTTTTAGATTAGTGCAGTTTAGATGTACTATTTGTTAATGAAGTTCTTTATTTGCTTGTAGAGCTACTGCTTCTTCCACCTATGAATACAAATTGGAAACTAATTCAGCCTCAACTATGGAATATTGAATAATTATTGATCAAGCAGGGACTGCTGTCTTCCCATCAGGGATTTCTTTAAGGTACGGTAGAAGAGAAACTTTTTAAAAGTACATGTATGAATAGTATATTGTTTTCCAGAACAATCAAAAGTTCTAGGAACAACCAACAATTGTAGTCTTGTCAATATTAACTGGAATTATAATCCAGAATGATAATGAATATAGCAATAGAAAGTGCAGTATTTAAATTGAAAATTATGATTACACATTTTATTAAACATAATTTGTATGAGTTAAATAATAATAGGGCTAACCAAAATAATGTTGAGGTCCAGACAATCTCAGCTAATAGCTGTTTAGCTAACAGCCATTAGCTGAGATTGCCTGGACCCCAACATTATTTTGGTTGGCCCTATTATGATTATTATGATGGTGATGATTATTATTATTATTATGATCTGATGAATGGAGGTGGAAGATTGGCCCTATTATGATTATTATGATTATGATTATGATCTGATGAATGGAGGTGGAAGATTCATGTATGATTCAGGCTGTGTTGATCACATACTGTATTATCATATAGCTGTTTAGTTTAGTTCTCAAAATTAAATTTTCTTGACTAACAAATGCCTATCCCTTTAAGCATGGCAGTTACTTGTGAACAGATATTTCTGTTGCAATACTCCCTCTGACATGCAGTTTTATGCCAAGGATAACTTGAGGCAATGCTCCGAAATATTTATATATGTTATTCAGATTATAGTTCTTCTTAATTTTATATTTAATTCTAATTATTCTAGTGTTAAATCAGGGAGATAAAATATATGAGCTGGAAGTCTACCAATTCCTCACCTTTGTTTTAAATATTTGATTGTTTAAAGTATAGTGATAAGGAAAAAAAGGTATGTTGGAAAGAAGGAACCTGTTCTCCCTACTCTTTTGTTTGGTATTTTTTAAAAGTAAGGCTTAACATAAATCACGTTATAATTCAAAAATATTTTCAGGTTTAAGAAAGGTTATCTTGCATTAAATAGCTTTGTAAGGAAATAGCATTCATTTGAATTTCATTTATCTCAAGAGACTCTTAAAGCCATCCATAATTTATTGTAGCATGTTGTGTAAACCCAGTCCATGTGTTTAGCTTATGGTTCAGTATATCATATTAACCCAGGAAATTGGGTTAATGGAATAAACCATGCTTCACTTAACCATGGGTACTTATGTAAACAGACACAGGATTGTAAGGGAACTTGAAGAATGTTTAGCAGAAAATTCTACAACAGCAGGATAATATACCAAATAGTATTATGGACTTTAGACTGACTAAATTAGACTAATTTATTGCATAAGTTTTTGCAGATCAGTTATCTGGAATATTGTGAGACAAGTTATTAAACCTTTATATAAAATGTGTGTGTGTGTGTATGTATATACACACATACACATACATATACAAAGGGTAGTCCCCAGTTTAAGAACGAATTCTGTTCCCAAGGTCTGTCCTTAAGTTGAATTTGTATGTAAGCCAGAACAGTATTATTCTATAATATTGTATAAGTAGTACTGTGTAACCTGGGCATTCTTAACCTGGGGATTACCTATATATATAAATGAGAGTCAATTTGGTATAGTGGTTAAGCTGGAAGACCATGTGTTCTAGTCCTGCCTTAGGCATGAAGCCCGCTGGGTGACCTTGGGCCAGTCACTCTCAGCCCTAGAAAGGATGCAATGGCAAACCATTTCTACAGTCTTGCCAAGAAAACTGCAGGGATTTGTCCAGCTGTCACCAGGAGTCAACACTGACTCAAAAGCGCACGTATGCATGCACACACACACACACACACACACGTATATCAGTGTTGTATGGGGGGGGAAGAAAAGAAATAATAAAAAGATCAGGAACAGAAATAATTATCTTCTTCATTGAGTCTGTCCACAAAATAATTGTTGGATTGATTCAATAATTCTTTATTGATAATTGGACATCATGTGATCATAAATAATTGGTTTTGGTTTTATCTAAGAGTAGGGAACTTTTTAAGAGGCACAGTCTACATCAACTTCCTGATCTGATTTTGAAGTGTTAATGATAGGAAGAGAAGCAGAAGGCCTCTGGGAAGTAAACTACCGTAGTCCTATGCCTAACATGAAGACTTGGAAAACTGTGAAAACAGGCAGAAATGATGGTAATGAAATTTATCAGGAAAGTAGCTGAATTTTAGTCGTGCAATTTTACTTTTTTTCAGAAATTTGGGGAAAATGTACAACTGAAATGAGACCATTTGCCACCAAATGTTGGCAGTGTAGTCTCAGGGTACTGTGAAGGCCACATGTTCTGTGCGACATTGGTTGCCCACTCTTGGTTTAATATTTGAAATTATATTTTCACACAACAGACCTACCCAGTATTAACCATAGTTTATTTAATCCATGTTTTGGTTCATGAAGCATAAATTAATCACATATGTTGGATTTGCACAACCTAGTATTAACTGTTGGCCAGTTTGTTAATCAGTGTTTTGTGTGAACACAATTATTGTCTACTATTGATAAACATTTAAATTGCTGTCCGTTATAACCTTTGAACTGTTCAAGCTTAAATACAGTTATTCCTCCTAGTTTCTTTACATATTTCTTTTTCTTCCCAGATTGTATTTTTTGCCTTTCATTTTATTTCTTATAAAGTGCTAGTGCACTTCCCTTAGTATTGTTTATATTTTATGTTGTTTCAGTTTGGCTAGTTTCCTTAAATACTGTATTGTGAATTGTTAAATAAATAACTAGAATCTCTAGGTTTGGATTTATTAAAAACAATAACTCAAAATAAGTAAATAGCTTCCAACATTTTAAAGCTTTATATATGTTTTTATTGAACAATATAATATGCAAACAAAGTATTAGGTTAATTAAAAAAAACCCTAATGGTTGTTTATACAAGTAGGAGCTACTTTGCTTTTAGAAGTCAACATGGGAATGTCATAGGCTCAGCTGGCCTATTCACCTCAAAGGTGAATTTATTTATTTATTTAAACAATTCATATGGCTGCCCAACTCACTCATGGTGACTCCAGGCGGCTTACAAGAATAAAAATCCAAACACAAAACCCACTCCGCCCCCTCACCCCCCCAGCGACAATACATTCAAACAACTTGATAGGCTCTGTATCAACCTGGGATCCCCAGGCCCACTAGCACAACCATGTGTTCAGGACCTTGTGGAAGAGCATCAAGGTGGGAGCCAGTCTTATCTCTGTGGTGATGATGTTCCACAGGGAGGAAGCCACCACGAAGAAGGGCCTTCTTCTTGATCCCACTAGATGGACTTCCTTAATAGAGGGGATCCGTAACATACCCTGCCTCCCCGATCTGGTGGGTCGGGCAGATGAAACTGGGAAAAAGTGGTCCTTCAAATAACCTGGCCCCAAGCCATGTAGGGCTCTAAAAGTGATAACCAGCACCTTGAATTGGACCTGGAAGCAAATTGGCAGCCAATGCAGCTCCCCCAAGAGAGGTGACATGTGCAAATCCAGGCTTGCACAAAACTATGTGGGCTGCTACATTCTGAACCAACTGAAGCTTCCGGATACTTTTCAAAGGCACCCCCATGTAGAGAGCATTGCAATAGACAAGGCAGGAGGTGACTAAGGTGTGGGGGACTGTGAGCAGGGCCTGTTGGTCCAGGAAAGGGCGTAACTGGCGCACAACCTGCAGTTGTGCAAAGGTCCTCCTGGCCACGACTGCCACTTGCTTCTTGAGCAGAGGTCATGAGTCCAGGAGAACCCCCAGATTACGCACTGGGTCCATCTAGGGCAGTGCAATCCCATCCAAGACCAAAGATGCCAATTCTCCATGGGCCAGAGAACCCCAAACCCAGAGCCATTCGGTCTTGCTAGGGTTCAGTTTCCACCCGTTGCTCCCCATCCAGACCTTAACAGCCTCCAAGCACTGCGAGAGGGAGGTCACGGCATCACTTAACTCACCATGGGCTGAGATATACAGCTGAGTATCATCAGCATACTTTGTTGATCATATGTTGTATGTTTGCACCTGTTAGCATATGCTCTTGATTCCATTTTTTCAAGTAGCCTTAACAAAAGAGCTGCACCTGTGAATTCACATTTTTCCTTTTTTTTTTTTCTTTTTTCTTTGGTGCTGGACTAGGCTATTAATAATATTTTGTTACAGAGTGGGCGAGTTGTTAAAATTAATTTTCTTAGCATGCTTCAGTTGCTAATTTATTTTAATCTTTTAGTGTGTAAAGGTGGCAGAGCTAGGTAAGGTAAGCATTGATAGAATTTCACAGGCTCCTTTGATATCATTTTCTTTTGTCTTATATCTCAAAAATAGTGTTTGATATTCACAAGGGAATGAGATTACAGAACACATGATATCATCAGTTTGCCAACCACATTTTAACTAGCTGTTATGTGGTTAGTTTATGGTTTAATATGTTTATTTTATTTTATTTTTATTTTTTTATGCCTTCAAGTCAGTGTTGACTCCTAGCAACTGCCTGGACTAGTCCCTGCAGATTTCTTGGCAAGGTTTTTCAGAAGTGGTTTGCTGAAAATGGAAAAAAGTGCAATGGTGATTTCTGGATTTGCTGATTGAAAAACAGGGTGAAAATGGGATAGAAGGAATCTTTGTAATGTAATCTTAAAGAGGGAGGAGGGATAATCACTTTGTAACTGCTGCAAAGAAGATTGGAAGTCACTTCTTTAATTATCTTTTTGTTTTTTTCTTTTTCTACTTGTATTGCTTTTTGTACTTTTTCTTTTATCTTTTTTCTTCTTTCTAACTTTTTAAAATATATTTTCATGTTTATCTTTTATTTATGTAAAAATACAATAAAAATTATATTTAAAAAAAGGAGGTGGTTTGTCCTTGCCTGCTTCATAGAGCTAAGCTAGACTGACTGGATCAAGGTCACCCAGCTGGCTTTGTGCCTAAGGCAGGACTTGAACTCATGGTCTCTCAGTTTTTCGCCTGGTGCTTTAACCACTACACCAAACTGGCTCTCATTTACATAGATACATTTTGAAAGTCCAAGCAATGCTTGGTAGTTTAGTTGTCTCTTCATGTTAGCAAAACGAATTCCAAACTTTGGTAGAGGAAAACTTTTGCAGAAACTATGCTGCTTTTTCTAAATAAGGTATGTTCTTCTATGATTTAATAATTTTCTCTTCAGTAATGTTTTATCTGTTTACCTAGAAAGGAAATAGATTTACACATCTTAATTTTCTAGATCTCCTTTTGAAAACTGGAATTGAGTTGGCTATCTTCCAATCTAAGTATATAACTTAGTAATGATGCATCAAGCAAAGAGTCACCTTGTGTGAGATGGGTGGCTATATAAATTTGATGAATGAATGAACGAACGAACAAACAAACAAATAAATAAATAAATAAATATTGTAGCTAAAAAGATTGCTTTGCTGGAAAGATGCTGCTACCTCAGACTTAAAATTCTAGAGTGAAAACGTGTTCATTCTCTACCTTTGAATTGGTTGTTTATTGATGTAATGGTGTGGTTTGGAGGGAAAATGGAACATTCTAGATTCTCAAATTGGTGAGTTTTATAGATTCCTACCTTAAATCATTCATATCAAACAATAATCGCTGTCCAATATATTATATGATTTTCTAATTTAGTGACTTTATTTTGTTCTGCATTTAATGATCACTATCACATTATTCTATTCACATTAAAGGATATTTCTACCAGTTCTCCCTTCTATCTGTAACCCCTCCATTATATCCTACATATTTCCCCAAATTGTCACAACTCTCCCTGTTGGAGTACACAAGGCTGAGGATGGAAATGGGACAGACTAATTCTGTCAAATTAATTCTGACCCCTTTCATGTGCAAGAGTGGCACAAAACTGGGATTGGCACTTTCCCATGTGTGTTTCCATAATGCTGTGGGGTTTCTAACAGGCTTTGTACACAGAACCAATTCAGAAGTTAATTGGCTCAGTTCCCACAGCTGAAGGATGGTTGTATAGCATTTTCTCTGTAGCTGTAGGGTGGGCAGTTCCCCATCTCATTTTGCTTCCTGGCTCCTGGGATTTTTCTTTGCTTCCCAGAGTATAGATATTATGATGTTTTGTCGCTGTTGGTTTCTGACCATTCGGAGGAGTGGCTGCTGGGTTTGGGATGGGGGATTGTTTGTTTGTTTGTTTCTTGCCATAAAATGAAATGTAGCAAGGGAGAACAAGAATAGGGATGGAGTGTTTTGCTATTTTTAGTGGTTCCCCATTGGCTAGCTGGAGGAGTACTGGCTCAAGAACAGAAAGCTGAGGACATATGCTGAGTGCAACACAGAAATGTGAAAATGCTGCTAATAGTTGGTGGGGTTGGTGAAGCTGGCAACTATGTGGAAGAAGCTTTTGTTTCTTTCACAGAAGAAAAGACAGACGTAAATTTGCTTGCTTGCCATGCAAACAATACCATCTCAGTGAAAAATCTTTTGTTGCTTTAGATTCAATGAATGACTGTGTCATAAATATTCTCTTTATTGAATAAATTTTAGATGTATAAATAGAGGATATCTCAATTATTTTTTCATTACAAAGTACAATTTATCCATCTTGATTCTCCTTTACAACATATACGATGCTAGTGGTTTTTTTTTCTTTTAACCCACTCAGATTCTGCATACTCCTTTTGTACCTTCATTTTGAAGACATAGAATTCTAAAACATATTCACAAGGGATGTCTACTTCAGCTGAAGGACTGCAGCATATTGGCTTTCTTATTTCTGTTCTTTTCCTTGCTCTTTTTCAAACTGATGTCTCAAGGCTTTTCTATAATATTAAAAGTTTGACACAGCAACATGGATTTGGATTGTTTTATGAAAAGTTTACATATGTAAATTGATTATTTAACAAAATGTGTAGTAGAAGATTTTGGCTTATTGCATTGATGCTTAAGTAGTTATGTATTTGCTGCAACATGTTGCTCTCAACATTTGTAAATAAACTTGGCATATGAGAGTAAATATCTAGAGAGATTTGAATAGACTCCATTAACTCCATTTGCTTGAAGATGTGTTACAGAGGGCTGGCTGATTAAATGAACTTCCATTGAGCAGTGGATTTTTCTTTTTTACATCTGAAAGCTTGCTTTTGAAAAATACGCCTCAGCCTCAAAACCGCATGAAACATCCCAAGTACTTTGGTCGGTGTTCCCTCGTAATCAGCATACTAGCAGGAAATACCAGTTTATCTGGACTTAATTATTAAGCATCCACAATGCACATTCAGAACATAATAAAAATGCCTCTTTCATTTAATTTATAAGGAGCAATTGTGGTCAGGACAGGACACAAGGGGAGTAGTTTCTGAAAAAAAAGCTGCTAAATGACTTCTGGTTTTTTGAAGCAATATAGGTAGAAGCAATATAGGTAGGATTTTTAGTCATTAGTTAGGCAGTACTATACCTTGATCCCTTATTGTTGTGTGACTTTAAACAATCAGTGTCACATTTGTGTATGTTTATTTTCCTTTATTTCTGTGATAGGAAATTTTTTGCTTGGAGGAAAAATGCAAATTACAAGGTTACAAACTTGACAGCATTTTTAGATACCCTCTAAAAGAGGGTATCTTGTTAAGCATACAATATGCAATATAATACAGATAAAGTGGGAGACAACAAAGTATGTAAGAACTTAAGCATTCATTAGCTTTGACAGTTGGGTGAATTAATTTACAATTGCTGAATTTAAGAAGTTGGGAAGGGAGGAAATATTTAGGTCAACAAACTCCATATGTCAAATGGCCAAGGGATTTGTTTACAGTAACATCATGTGATGTTAAACTCTTAAAGCCAATAATCTAATGTGATCTATATTGTACATAACTCAATTTAACTGGCTCAACGGTAAAAAAAAAGTCTTTAAACCAAAAAGCTAGGTTTATGTTGCTGGGATAAAGAAGGCAGACTAATTAACTGAACACTGCAGTTTTGGTGCCTGCTTCATATTTCACCTTTTAAAATGAACCTTTCCCCCCCTCCCTTCCCTCTTGTTACAGGTTGCTATGGGAATCTTATGATAATCTGAGAGGAAGTAAGTCCTGATAATATTGCAGTTATTCATCATGTGCCTGGAGTGAAGAGGAAGGGAAACACTTCACATATCTAAGTGCCAAGGCTCTGCTGTGTCATGGCTACAGACTCTGGTGAATCAGCCAGCACAGAGGAATCGGAGAAACCTGATGGAGTTTCTTTGGAATGTATGAACCCTTCTGTTGATGGTACTTTGACCATGGAGGCCAGGACCAAAGAGGGTGTTAGCACACGTGTCTCTGGGGCAACTATAGAAAGAAAAAGGTTTTTCCGAAAGAGTGTGGAGATAATGGAAGATGAAAAGGACTTGGAACTTACTCCAAGGAATGAACAAGAACAGTTTATTTTGGGTGATCAGAGGATGGTCCATCTTTCTGCCAGAACACTTGTGGCCGAGCAGGAAGCCAGAAATGAGCAAAGCTCAAAGGTGATTATGGAAGCCACAAAGGAAAGGACCAAGAAGGAGATAGAAGAGGAGGCAGAGATGAAGGCTGTGGCTACATCGCCAGGTGGAAGATTTCTGAAATTTGACATTGAGTTGGGAAGAGGAGCTTTCAAAACAGTCTTCAAGGGTCTGGACACAGAAACCTGGGTAGAAGTTGCTTGGTGTGAACTGCAGGTTAGTGTGGATGAGTTCCATCATTCTGCAAGCTAATTGTATGATCTGATTTGACCAAATCATTGAGAGGTATGTGGATTACCAGAACTTTATGGCTGCCTTGATCATACTGTAGAAGGTATGTCATGGCTCCTAATGTAATATCTACCAGGTTTTTGTATAATTAGAAAATGATTACTTTTTAGAAAGAATGGTGGCAATTTCAATAAATTCTTAAAAGGCAGAGAGAATTTGTAATTTGGGAGGCAAAGTCCCAGTCTTTCAACCACTTCTGTTAGCTATTTCATACTTCTTACTTCATACACTGGGAAAACCTCCAAATTGAGCAATGCCTGCTCCCCCCATTAGAACAAAAATCCTAGCTGAATTGTACAGCAACTAAAACATGAATTACGTGTACTCATGGAAATTTTGAACAGTTTTGTGTGATTTATGGGATTAGAGTTTATTGTAGTTTAAAACAATTTTAAAACATCAAATCACTGAATTCATTTTCCATTTTAGGAACTCCCCTGATGTGAAATTATTTCATATAAACTTTGATAATATATTTCTTTCTCATCAGTTCACAAATCAACTGAATTAGTTGAATGTAGTTTTTTAAAAAAATAAATAAATAGACACAGGAAATAATTGTTTAAAAATGTGGTTTACGTATAGTTCCCAAATTATATCTTAAGCGTGGCTTTGCAACATGTAAGTTCAAGTTTGTTAATAGCGCAGTATAATGGGCAAATGTGGGTTTCTGATTTGTTGGTAATCCATTATAGAGTGGCTATTTAGAATCTAACCATGGCTTGTGGGTAGTCTCTTCCTGGCTTCTAGCCAACAGAAATAGGCTTAAGGAATAGCCATAAAATGAAAATATTCCTATAATATTTTGATCTTGCTGGTGCTTTTACCAGTGCAACCACAGTAGGAAGGATTGGGAATTGGGTGTCTCCATTCCACCAATGATAGCCTAAGTACAGGTCAGACTAACATTTGCTTGCAGTTAAGAAACTTAAAAATCAATAAGTATTTTAAATTTGGAAGTGGGTCCTGCTTGGTATCGTCAGTCACTTTAAGACGTTTGGAAGAACAACTGGTTACACATTAAAACTGTATTGGCAATTTCTGTCAAAAGACAGTACAGTTTCACTCTTCAGGAAGAGAGAAAGCGGTGAGGTGTTAAACCACAGAAGGGGGAAAACATGAAGTTTAGGTGCTGGTTGTCAGGGTTAAGGCAGCAGAACATGGTTAAAGATAAATCTGGCCTACATAAACATGTAACTCAACCTGAACAGCTGAAGTATCTTATATTTCACATAATCATGAGAGAATGCAAGGAAATGGGTTAATAACGCTCAACAGTGGATGAGTTTATGTATGTAGTGTTTTCATCAATGGGGTTTTGGGGTTTTTTTTGCCATAAATCTTTTCCCCTCTGCTGGTCCTCCTCTGTCTGAATTCTTATTTGGACCTAAGCTTCCTTCCTAGTATCTCTTCAGTCCTTTTCAAGCCATCTGTCCCTGTGGCCATCTTAGTAAACAGCCTACTAAATGTTGGGTTCATGCAAATGGAAACATAGCTGTTAGCTGAGGACTGAAGAAATCCTTGCATAATGAATAAAAGCTATTGTTTGAAAAAATACCTCTATTTTTTAAGGCTTTGCACTATTTCCTGATTCTTTTGAGTTTATATTTCCACTACAAGGATAGCTGTAAAGGGGCATTTGAAACATTCATTCCAGCTTGCCTTCCATTCTTTCTGTTTCAGATGGTATGCCTATGATTTGCAGGAGAACTAGATGCAAGGAAAGAGAATGTTGCTGCATCCTTAAAAATTGTGTGCACAAGAAATGTTGCAAGATGCAAGGATGAGAAGAACTCATAGTAGTTAATGATACAAAAATTCTGTTTTTCTTTGCACCTTGCTACTCTCCCCATCTGTGCTGGCAAAGTGTTCTGGGTGATAAAGAGGGAGACAGAATTTTTTTTGAATGGTGTAGTATTAGAAGGTGATTAGACATTTTAATGTTTGATAGGTCTGCTGTTAGCTGTAATACCTAAAAGAAACCTACAGGTTCAAAGCTTTCTGAATATCAGGTGCTTGGGTTCACCAGCGTGAGAATTTCTTGGAAGCAACTGACTGGCCGCTGTCATTCCTTTCCTGACAACGCACGTTCATGCTGACTAGGAATGTTGAGGGTGGTAGTCCCAGTACATTTGGAAGATACTAGTGTTGAAAATGCTGTTGCTTAATGCAGTGGGATTCTTATGAACTTATAGGCAGATTTTTGACACCTTTCTCCAAAGCAGTTTTGCAATACTAACTAAATTTAAGGTTACATTTAAATCTCATTCTCCTCTTTACAAATTAGCATAGACAATCTTGGTGGACTGCCTACTATCTCCGTAAGAGTCAGGCTTGAGAAATAATACACTTCAGTATAACAGATAGAAGGTAAAAGTATGGGAATTTTTTTTTCAGAGGAGAAGGATAAGCTAAGGCTTTACTTGTGGTTTATTTCTGTTTTTGTTTTTGGCATAGAAAATTGACTTGAGCAATTATGATTTTTTAAAAAAAGTACTTGTTTTTCCCCATATACGTATCAGTGGGTGGTGGAATAACTACCGTATGCTTCATAACTGGTTTAATCTCTTCCACAGCTAATTCAGCCTAAGCTTGTCCGAATTTTCCGTGCAATACTTCTAAACATCAAAGCTTATACTATGCTGCCTCATCACTTACAATCCTCAGACTTATACTCTGTCACTTTATCAGTTACAATGCTCATTGATTGAACACTGTAATCAATATCCTTTTCTACTGCAGTTGTACTAAGATGCTAAAGAAGCTATTTAGCAAGGCTGCTTATTTGAAGGATCTTATCAGTGATAAGCCATTATGATATTGGCTAAGAATTTTAGTTACTTATATTAGTTACTAAAACCAACTTTAAAAATTTTTTAGAAGTAAGCCCTCTAGGAAGAAATGAAATTGATTTTAAGTGAGTATGTCAGGTGTATTTTTGTCTGTGTATTTTTAACTATATGATTGTGTGATGGGATCTTCAATCTTTTGGAGCTGGGAGGCACGTTTGGAATGTTACGGGCACTCTGAAAAAGTGGTTGTACAGTACTGCCAAGTGTGAAAAGTTTATACCAAGTCAACTTACTGTCTTTTCTTTCTGGGTTGATGGGCACTTTCTCAAACAGAGCACTGATCTGCAGCCTTTTATATTTTAATTTTTGAAGGATGCCTCCAGCTATTTGCAGGGCCTTGGAAACAGAGATTGTTTGAGCCTGGAATTTTGCTATGCAGCTTCCTTAGCTTCCCATTTAATTTTGTAAAATGAAAATACTTGGATCATGAAGGTTGTCATGTACCTAGGGACTTGTCTGCAGACACATTGGTATCTGTGGGAAATGCACTGGGGACTTTTAGATCAGTGAAATTTGCCAACCAATGTCTAGGCTGTACAATCAAATGCAAGCAACATTAGTCTGCAGAGTTACTTGGCTCCTTTCTTTAAAAATATATGAATATTTTAAATTTGGGGTGTTGTAGCAGATTCCAAACCTGGCCACCTTTCTGCAATGAATGAAAATTGAGCTATTTTTGCATTCCTCATTCAAATTATTTTATAGAATACAAGATTATAAGGAGATCTGGACTGCATTTTTGAGGTATGCTGTAAGATTTTGAAATACTACTTTAAAAAAAAGATCCCCATTTGTAAATATGTGGAAGACAGTGTTAACTCATATTTGCAGAATATTGTTTTGTCAAGTGTTTTGTTTGTTGGGCTGGGAGATCATTCTAGTCTAAATATATTATCTGTGGTACTTCAGAGTCTATTTTAAATCCATATCAAAGTTGACTGTAGAAACTTCATATTGTTATTTCTTTGTGTGCACTGTAGGTGAGGAAATAAATCAGATCATACATCACTCATTGATAGGATTAAAAGATATTATATATATAAGTCCCTTGTCAAATCAAGGAAGGAAGAAAGCAAGACAAAGATTGGTAAAGTAGAGGCAAGAGAAAGGCAATGAAATGAATGCTCCTTGTTCAGAACAGAAAGTAGTGGTTCTGAAATAGGCATATGGTGCAGCAGTTCTGCTGAAGTCAAGCAGTGTGGCATTGATTTGATTTCAGTAGAATACTGTGGGGAAGCCCTTTGTAGGACATTTTGAGCTTTTCCATGAAAGAAGAGGATTGAAATTCAATCAATCAATCAATCAATCAATCTCTCTCTCTCTCTCTCTCTCACACACACACACACACACACACACACACACACATTCAATTTATATAGCTGTCCATCTCACATATGTGACTCTGGGCAGCTGACACAGTTAAAAACAAATATGTTTTTAAAAGGGTTACAGATGGTACCTAACAACTTGCTTTGTTTTGTTGAGAATTATTCTTTTATCTGTCTTGCAGTTTTGTCTTTTGGACTAGACGTTGATGAAAGTGCAGTGACTATCCCAGTATGATAATGTTCCCTACCTCATGTTTGGGACTTGTTTGGGACTTGAGCCCTGTTATAAATTCAGTTAACAAAGTTCTCTCTGACAATGAGATAAGTATAAGTGAACATTTATTTTTTTGTTTTTAGGGTTATGCAGCACCTTGGATTTAGTCTCCAAGAAAGTGCTTCAGGGCAATTGGGAGCACAGATCCCAGAAACAGGTGCACCTGCTTTAAGCTGTTGTAAACAGGTGTTATGTTTGCACTCCAGCATGCTCTGAAACACCTTTTGGAGACTGAATCTGAAGTTCTGCACAGTCTTAATGTTTTCATGCTCTTCAGTTGTGACCCTTTCTAAAGGCAAGCTACAGAGTACAAAATTGCAATTGTAATTGCTTGAATCAGTTAGAAATATAATAGAGAGGGTGGGCAGAATGGTTTTTAAACCACATGTGTGAAGAGAGGGCATTAACTCTTCTTTCCATATTGTAATCCCAATGAAATTTGCTATCCTGTGAAGCTTCTATAAAACTAGG